TCTATGCATATGTAATGGTTAGAATGATCCTCTTATCGTTCAGCCACAGTCACAAGTGAGTTTGATACTCACTAGGTGTTTTATACACGTAGCCTTCTGCCAAAAATAACCACGACTTCGCCCCATCTTCAGTTATGGAATTGAGGGTCACCCACCTTCCACAAACACATGCATGTGCACTCAGTACCAGAATTGTTTTCATGCAAGTCGTAAAATTTCAGCAGCAATTAAGTATACGACGCGAAATTCCATTAATAATAGTTTGAATCATATTTTTACATTGAATTCAATTGTTAAGAAAGATGGCGACTTTAGAAGTGAAACGAGATGTTGCCAAAATGACGAGAGGAAAACTTTAGAAATGGCATAGAAAAAAAAAGAAGTTAAGCAGATATCAGCGAAGAATCGAAAAAGAAATTTCAAACATTGGCAAGATAAGATCAATGAGAAAATGTCTTTAAGAATGCCGCTAAAAAGAATTGTCAAGAAAAAAAAAACAAAAACAAAAACGTATTAAATATGGTAGCAAGCAAAAGGATGTGCGATGCCGTCATAGATAACGGCTCGGCATTGAGAAATTAATTCTAATTCCTTAGAAAGGTTAATATACAGGGTGCGATGGTTAAATTGTCGTCCAATTGAGGCCAAAATGAAAATAACACTGACATCGCATTTTAACAGATCTACAGGGTGCGATGGATAAATTGCCGTCCGATTGAGGCCAAAATAAAAATAACACTGACCTCATTTTAACAGATGGACAGGGTGCGATCGATAAATTGCCGTCCAATTGAGGCCAAAATAAAAATAACACAGACATCTTATTTTAACAGATAGACAGGGTGCGATGGATAAATTGCCGTCCAATTGAGGCCAAAATGAAAATAACACCGGCATCTCTTTTTAACAGATCGACGAGGTGCGATGGATAAATTGTCGTCCAATTGAGGCCAAAATGAAAATAGCACTGACATCTCATTTTAACAGATATATTTACCAAAATTACACAAAAATATCTTGAAATACTAAAGAGTAAGCTTATTTTTTGTTTCTTTGTTTGTTCGTTTCTTTCTTTCTTTCCTCTTCTTTCCTAAAAAGAACAGTTTGCAGGTTATTTAAAGCCAGATTTTTCTCTTTTTTATTTTTAACTTGTACGAATTTTTTTTTTGTTTTTGTGTAGGTCATAAGGTTTTAATGATACTAATGCCCCCATACCTGGGGAGAAGGGAAGAACTCATTACCTTTCCCAGGAGTAACTGCGAATTAATAGCTGCATCCACTGCAAGGAAATTTGAGTCAATGTGATGTGTCAGAAATCTTTTCTCGTCAGATTCCATCTTGCACGTTTACAAATCTACCCTTCGTCCGTGCACTGAATACTGCAACCATATCTGGTCCGGTGCTCCTACAATTCATCTCGAGGTTCTTGTAAAAAAAAATCCCCCCCCAAAAAGGATCTGTGATGTAATCGATCCTTACCTGGCATCTCGGCTTCAGTCATTTTCTCACCGACGGGGCGTGGCTTCACTCTGTCTTTTCTACAAATATTTTCATGGCTACTGTTCTGACAAGCATTTTTCCCTGATGACCAACGACATGATTTTAAGCGTGCTACTAGATTGGCATCTAGGTCCAACCCTTTTACTATTGAAATATTTAAATGCAATCGCTACTTCTACTCCAACAGTTTATTTTCTCGAACTTCCCGCCTGTGGAATTGCCTTCCGTTTCCTTGCTCCCCTGATGACTGCAATCTTCAAAAATTTATATACAACGTCAATCGACATTTTCTATCTTCTTCATCGTTTGTCCGTTCTGCGGAATCAGAATCAACGTTGAGTTTAAGCAAGCGAATGAGCCAATTAGAGTAAAGTGCCATGCAGATTTAAATTTTTCCCACTTGTGACGAATGCAGCTATCGATTTTTTTGCATGCTAGCATGCTAGTTAACATTCATGTCAGTCAGCTGTTGTCTCTCACGCTGGCCAATAGAATCTTCCTGCCTATTCGTGGCAGCCAGCTTTAGGCTCTCACTCTTGCCAGTAGAAAATACCGTAGAAGCATGAAAAATTCGATTATTTTCCCTATCGATGGAAGTTGGGAAATACAATGTCAGTCTTGGCCTTTCCACTAACTTGGTGCATGTGCATGTAAATTTTGGTGCAAATCCGTCGAAAATTGCGGCCGTGCATTCGTTACATACACACACACATCCTGCTTTTTATCGATATATATATATATATATATATATATATATATATATATATATATATATATATATATATTAATGCATGTTTCATTAAATAATATAGACAACTTTTTGTCGATTAATTTTAAAGTAAGTACCTTGCATATTGTCTGATAAGCATAACGTGTGACGTCACGAGCTGCGACGCGATTTTCGCTTCCGCGTCTCGTATATACGAATTTGTCGTCACTTGGAAATTTATCATGCAGCAAGGGCGGGCTATCATTGTTGTTTAGTCCGTTGTTGTTTGATTTATTGAAATTGTCGTCTTTGATAATTGCTTGTGTAAGCCGAAAGCTTAGATTAGATTTAAACATGTATCAATATGGTGTTTTCTTTTCGTCTTTCAATAATAATATGATTAAGTTTATCAGACAATATGAATGGAACTTACTGAAAATAAATAGACAAAACTTGTCTACATTATTTAATGAAACATGCATAAATGAAAAATTGCTGCCGAAATATACCCATATATATATATATATATATATATATATATATATATATATATGCTCCTGAAAATTTATTTCAGTTGAGCTCTCTGGGGAGGAAGTGTGAGTTTGTAAATACTGACTATTATGGCTAATAGTGCAAGACTCTACGGAAAATCGAATCGAGTTCTCTGAGTCACTGTGTGTTTATCTAAAAATAAATACGCTTAAATTCACCTTCTTCTCTGCCGTGGGCTTAGGCTTAAGGGTAGAGTCTTCGAATTCAGCCGGGTTTGATCCTAGGTAGAGGCAAACCGGATGTCTAGCCACATTGATGAGCTGTGATACATCGAAACAGTCTGTTTGTCAATGACAATATATATATATATATATATATATATATATATATATATATATATATATATATCTGTTTGAAAATATATATATATATATATATATATATATGTTTGAATATAAATATATATATATATATACATATATTTTCAAACATATACTGTTAAATATAACAGACAACTAACTTTTATTATGTTTGATCATGAGCCGTTCTATATGACCTCGTGAAAGAAAATGATGTTAACAACGGAACTATGTTTTGTTTTTATTTTTCCCCGAAATGAAAGCCACTCTACGAAGCTGAGAACGGCTCCTGATCAAACATAATAGACATTCGTTGTTATACTTAATAATATATGTTTGAATAATGATCTGCTGCCCAGTACTATATATATATATATATATATATATATATATATATATATATATATATATATATATATATATATATGTAAATTGTGTGTATTTAGGTGGCATTTATTCATTGATGCATGTTTCATTAAATAATATAGACAAGTTTTGTCTATTTATTTTATGCAAATTCTTTTATATCGTCTGATAAGCTTAATAACATTATCATTAAAAGACGAAAGAAATCACAATATTGATACATATTTTTTAATCCTATCTAAGCTTTCGGCTTACATAAGCCATTATCAAAGATGACAATTACTGTACAATATATTAAACAATACACGGACAAAAGAGTGATAATAGTCTGTTTCTATTTCCAGCGTCTTATATGCACGAGTTTGTCGTTGCTTGGAAATCTTCCATTTAAAAAGAATGTTAGCATTAGCCATGCTGATGGTTGGGGTGGGGGGCGGACATACTCCCGAATATTGAAATCCTGAATGTCGATATTCTGAAACTTAAAATCCCGAAATTTGAAATCCCGAATTTATAAAATCCCGAAAGACCAGATATCCGAAATTTAAAATCCCGAAAAATCGGAATGCCGAAAAATTATGTTGGGGAAAAAATTGAAAAATAAATATTTTGTAACTACCTTTATTTCTAAATATTTACAAAATAGCGTTTAAATAGCGTTTATACATTTGAAACATTCAAAATATATTAAAAGAAATATAAACCCAATATGGCATAGGTGATGGGAAAATTTATTAGGCAAGGCTCATCTCGGTGTTCATCGCATTATTGAAGAATTTCAAAAAGAGTAGCTGTGCGTAGAAAACCAATGCTAACACATTCTTCCAGGAGAGTCTTGTCCAAAAATAAAAATAAAATGTTTGTTTTATCGTGATGAAAGGCTTAAAAATATACTTAATTATCGTGAAATCCGACCTGAACATATGGACGATCTTAGGACACTTGTACATAATAATTCATTATAATTCATATATTCTGGCATTATTATTTTTTTGAAGGAAGCAATCAAGTCGAAAGGGAAAAGGAATCTAAAGGGAACTGTTCCCGTGTTCCTTTTTGTTTCCTAAACTCAAATCCTACCTTCGTGGTCGCCATTTTGAAAACAATTATGACGTAATACGTTCAGTGAAGTTTTTGGAGGACAAGGTCGCCACGTTCTTACGTGATGGATTACAATGTATCATTCACATGAAGGTTAGCATCAGCCATGCTGATCGGGTAGGGGAGAGTACCGATCATAATCCCGAATATTAAAATCCCGAATGTCGAAATCCTGAAATTTAAAATCACAAAATTTGAAATCCCGAATTTATAAAATCTTGAAAGATCAGAATCCCGAAAAATAATGTTTGGGAATAATTTTTTTTTTAAATATTGTAAATACCTTTATTTCTAAACATTTACAAAATAGCGTTTAATTAGCGTTTATACATTTGAAACATTCAAAATATATTAAAAGAAATATAAACCCAATATGGCATAGGCGATGGGAAAATTTATTAGGCAAGGCTCATCTCGGTGTTCATCGCATTATTGAAGAATTTCAAAAAGAGTAGCTGTGCGTAGAAAACCAATGCTAACACATTCTTCCAGGAG